TAGGCCACCAAACCTTGAATCCTAGTCCCTCAGCCCCAAATGCTAAACCCCAACCCTATACCCTACCTCCTAAACCGCAATTGTGGCTTCTGACTTGGGAGACGACCATGCAGGGTGTCCAAGGGCCAGGACCTTTCGAAATATTTTGCGGTTTAGGGGTTTAGGGTTTAGCGGTTTCGGGGTTTAGTGGCTAAGGGTTTAAGGGTGTAGGGGTTCAGGCTTTAGGGGCTACGTGTTTAGGGTTTTAGGGGTTTAAGGTTTAGGGGTTCAGGGCTCAGCGGCTAAGGGTTTAGGCATTTAGAGGTTTGGGGGTCAGGGTTTAGCCGCTAAGGGTTTAATGCGGCTTAGGGCTTGAATCACATCCCACATGGTCGGTCTTACCGTTTTGGGTTGGGACTTTAGGACTTAGGCACTTGCTTCACATCCAGGAAGGTCCAGTTTACTTACATCACGCAAAGCATGGTTTGGGAAAATGGGTTTAGGGCGTAGGGGTTCAGGGTTTTAGGGTTTACCAGGTTGGGGGCAAAGTTGCTGATATGCGTTCTTTGGACGCTTGAGGGCTGATAGCTTTCCTAGAATAAGGGGCACCTTTTTGAAGGCCCCTATAATGAGGACTATATAGTATACTGGGGTCTAGGGTACCCTAGTTGCGGGAAACTGCCATATACAAAACTGTTGCACGACTGGTTCGAATGCCATACTTTCCGAGGCGTATGGTACTTCCATAAGGGTCCAAGTACCTAACAACCATATACTTACCCAGAACCAGTACTATAAGTGCTATTACCCCAAACCCAAGTACCTAATTATTGGGTACATGGACCCCTTGGGCTTAGGAGCATGCACGATGTTGTGTATCAAACGTAGCGATCGTAAATAAGGCTTCGGGGAGTTCGATTGAAGTAGGTGATCTTTCAGCATTTGGTGCCTTGATGTCCGAAACTGGGGTGCAGGGTCTACATGCCTCATTCCCACGCGGGCATGGAAAGCGAGAGCAACATTATAGCCGCACCTTGAGTTGTGGCAGCATTGTACCTGAACCCCTTCGCAAGCCTCTATTGTAATCCCTTCCCTTGATACTTAACACCTCGCAGCCCCTCCAACATTAAACCTACAAGGTGCCTGAAAATAGTTTTTAATTTCTGTTACCTAGAATCCTAATGTTTAGCTGAAATTACATTTTCTACTGGGGTTCCAAATCCCTTAGAGAAACATGTAATGTAGCAGCCAAAAAATACAGCGGCAACGTTTGAAATGCCGGCAAGTGGCAGGGTCCCTGCCAACCCTCAATTACAAGCCTTAAGCTCCAAGCCCTCAGCTCTATAAACCTTGCACCCCAAACCCTAAACCCTATAAACCTGAAACCCGAAAGGCGGCAGGGTGCTTCATCTCAGGGAAGCCATTCGTATTTCGCATGCTTATCAGCCTCGCGGGATGACGTGGGTCTATTGCTAGAGGGAAAGGGCTCCTGAACCTTGTGCCCTAAACCTTAAAAACTCCAAACCCTAAACCTAAAACCCTCAAACCTGAATCCTAAACTCTAAACCTCCAGCCCTTAAGCCTCAAATCCTAGGTCCTGAACCCTAAACCCCGAAATCCTAAACCCTAAACTTCAAGCCCTAAGCCCTAAATCCTAGACGCCTAGACCCCAAATCGTAAACCCTAAACCTTAAACCTCCAAACCCTAAACCCTAAACCCTAATTCTCAAACCCCAAGCACTAAACCAGGGGAGCGCGGATGGACAGCATGTGCCTGCTTGGGACTTAGCTTGGACCTTAGGGTTTAGGGTTTAGGGTCCTGAACCCCCTAAACCCTAAACCCTTTTAGGGAATTAAGGGTTAATCCTTAGTAGGGGTCCTAAGTGCCAGGCATTTGCATGACTGTACAGGCTGAATTCACCGATCTCTGGCTTTGAAGTTGCCATCCCAAAAGAGTCGAATCAGAGGTTTAGGGTTTAGGGTTTAGGGTTTAGGATTTTGGGGTTTGAGCTTGAAGGGTTTAAGGTTTAGGGTTTAGGATTCAGGTTTTAGAGTTGCAGGTGTAAGGTTTAGGATTGAGGCTTGAGGTTTCAGGGTCTAGGGGTCAGGATGTAGGGTTCAGAGTTCCGGATGTAGGGTTGAGGGTTCAGGGCTAGGATTAGGATTAGGCTTTCGGGTTGTGCTGTTTAGCTGGGCAACGTCTTCCAAAACGATTGCTTATGCACAACGAGTCCGGACACACGGTGGATACTGAAAATTCAGCATGACGCTAAGTACCCCAACCTTGGTTGGGGATTATGGTGCTATGCTAGAGATTTGTTGGTTTCCCAAAGTTAGGGGTACCATTAAAGGGGTCCCTATAGTAAGGATTATGGTATTTGGGGTCCCCCTATTTTGGAACATTACCCTTTTTTGGTATCAACAGTAGCTGGGACGACCTCACCGGATTTGCATAGACAATAGTTGCCAGGTTTTTATCTCGGCCCCTAAAGGTCGTATCCGTTATCCATGAGCCTTTTTCTAACCAATGGAGCCTAAGTAAGTACCGATAATGGCGAATCAAGCGGAGAGGAACATCTAAAATGAAATGGAAACTGGGGTTACATGGTGGCTCGTCGTATGAATCAATTGCTAGTATTGTGGCCCTAGATTTCTTGCATAATTATGGTGTGGGGATGCGCAGGGTGCCTCAAACAGACCTCAAACTGATTTTGGTACTTACTTCGGCTTCTACCTTATACTTATATCCCACTAGTTATGTCCATGTTTACCAGCTACTAGGCATATAGCCTCAGGGACCCATGGGTGAGTAAGATTGCAGTTGTTAAGAAGAAGGGCCTACGTTAGATATTGCCCCCGTTCAGTGGATAACAAGTCCAACTAGTATGAACATGCCTGTTGTATGACCTCTTTTGCAGACTGTTACTGGATTACTGGGCGAGTCAATACCCAAATTATGCCCAGCCTAAGGCGTAAACCTAAACCTCAAGTAGGGTTTGGAATTAAGTTGGCCAGATCGACTCACAAGGCCTGGAGTAGGAACTCTGCACTTGTTCGTTTAGGGTTTAGAGTTCGCGGCTACGGTTTGGGGCACTACATTTTGTATTTTATGGATGGTAAGGGGAGCATGTTTATAGCTTGTCCGGCTTAAACGCTGCCCCTGCTCTTGTCCAGGATCAAGAAACCGGTCGAAGCTGGCACCATGGAATCGGGCTTAGCGTGTAGGGTTTAGGGTAGTGCTACCCCAATTGTTTAAGCAGTTCAAGCTCAGGCACAAAGACCTCAATTGCAACTACTGCAGTTCTGAGAGACCTTTACCGATCCATTCGGGCCACTGGTCCTCTTGCACTGGAGCCGATATGTATACGACATTCAGGAGAGAGAGAGAGAGAGAGAGAGAGATATATATATATTATATATGTATATATGCATATGTATATATATATATAGGTAGATGCGAATATATTTGCGTGGGGTGTTTAAAAAGGGTGAAGTATGATTTCAAGTGCTGCCTCATGCGCAGCCCCAACAGCATGTGGACAGCTACGTTTGTAACTGGGCAGCCGTTGCCTGACTATCTTGCCATCCCCTCGCCCTGATGTCCAAAAGCCCCGGGCCCTGATATTAAATATTCCCTGTATATGAAACTAGGTACCCCAGTAGTACACTTTTTTCTTTTTGTTTTGGGGTCGCCTTGTTAAAAAGCTGAATATTAGGAAAAGCGCGCCCTTATTATTAAGGGGCTACTGGGGTTTAGTATACCACAACGGGAACATTCAACATTAGGAGGGTGGGCAGTTGGAATATTCCTGGGAGGGGACTAGTATTGTCCAAAAGCAAGCCCTACATGCATTATGACCGGCCACCTTGCTCCTAACCACGTTTGATCTTTTCTCACATGACCCTTAAACCTAACCCCTGGGTTCCGGATAGTCTATGCCCTTGAGGCAGACCCCCATAGCATATATATGCCTTTGTCTGTCCGACGATCTACTTCTTAAACTTTCACTTTTCATTGAGGAGAATACACCACATGTTCTTTAGGTTCCTAACTTAATCTTTAGCATACCTGCCTGTCTGAGATGTAGGGGTGTTGGAGGTGGTGGTTTAGGCTTAAGTATTCATTGGACTATTGCAAGGAGTTTAAATCAAGTTATGAGAAGGTGGATGCATAGTGAACAGAATGGTTTCCTCATTGCGGATAATGTAGTTTCAATGCTTTGAAAGTCCCACGCCCTAAATCCCTAACCCTGAATCCTGAAGCTTAAGCTCTCGGGTAACGCAGGGGCCGAAGTAATTACCAATATTGCTGGTACAGCGTAGGTCAAACAGACCTCAAAATCTCCCCAGGTTCGCGTTCATTTTCCATGTGGTTCTCCATCACGCAGAAAATGTGTCCCCTAGACCCTCGGCACCCGTCTAATATATTTAAAGGCACCTCATTAGTTAATTTCGTATTTCAGAACTGAACCCTAAGCCTTACAGTATGCACCTGCCCTTCACTATATACATACTTCCTATTTACCCCCCAGGTACGTTACATCTCATTTTTAGGCCCCTATGCAGTAGGGTGGTCAAGCCGCCACGCAGGCCGCCATCACATCCGATGCGCAGACGCTGTTGCATTTGCACAATGCTGAGAGCCACCAGGAGCCCAAATGTTGATCCCGGGTTTCGGGTTTTTTTAAAAGGCAGAGGGTATGGGTATTCAGGCTTGGGGTTTGCGTTTAGGGTTGAAGGCTTTGAGGGAGGGTACCCGAGGGTTTAGTCATAGAAGTTGCACTCAAGTTTTCGTTTTCGGGGAAGGATCTCTGAACACTGCACACCAAACCCTAAACCCTGAATTCCAAACCCTAAATCCTGAACCCTGAAAGAGATCTGATTGTTAGGTACCTGGAGCCTCATAGTTAATGGAGGGAAGTAGGGTTTAGGGGTTAGGTAGGTTTTGGGGTTTGGGATTTAGACTACATAAATAAGATGCATTTGTCAACTTGTTTCGGCTTTGTAGACCCTTGGCGGAGGAGGCGTGTGCGACTCTTTGTGGGCTGCACGAGCCCTGTGCTTGGACCATTCAGGACTTTGCATTTTGGTAGTTGGAAGTGTGGTCTCTTAGTTTTCAGACGTGAGGGTTCCCTCGCTTGTACAGCCATTATGTTGCCTTGAGCCCTAAACCCTAAACCCCAGAGCCTAAACCCTGAACCCCAAACCCTAAACCCCATACCCCAAACCCTAAACCCTAGACCCCATACCCTAAACCCTAAGCCCTAATCCTTGAGGCTCGTGGGCCTATTTAGGCTTTCTGGAAGAAGGTTTGGTCTTTGGGAGGCCAAGGTTTGGGATCCCATCATGGGGGGTCCAAGAGCCCTAGGGTTTAACCCTGGTTTTAGTTTAGGGTTTAGGGTTTAGGGTATAAAACCTCAACCCTAAGCCCTTGGTGCAAGTTTAGATTTAGGGTATAGCTCTTCTTGCCTTGTTGGTGCTAGGCATAGAATCGAAGATTTAGAAGCCGACATGCTTACCAACGCAGTCCCCTTGCAGCCCATGCAGTTAACAACCTTGTTCCAACATTCTAGGCCTCAGCATGAACCTCCTAGAGTGGGGGCTACCCATGTCCCCATTTCCTTCTAACCCCTCCCCTAAACCCTAAACCCTAAACCCTAAACCGTACGCAAGCCCTTGAATCCTGAGCTCGACTACCCACCAGCACGTAAACCGTTGATGCCTGAGGAGTTGGTAGAAATGCTTTGTCCCGGTGACATAACCAAGGGTTTAGGGTTTAGGGTTTAGGGCTTTCAGGTTCCAGACGCTTCGGGTTTATGGGAACTCAATCTCTATGTCGTCAGAGATGAAATAGTCGGGCCATTGGGACTGGTGGCTGCAAGAACTGCTACTCTCATGTTCTCATGATGTGGAGAATTCTGCTAGCAGGTAGCCATTCCTTTCCCAAACGGTCCAAGGTATCTGCATGTAACATGTACCAAGTATAGCTTCAGCAGTACAAACTTCCTTTGTGGGGTTTTGTTAAGTATCTCCAGTACGGGTACTTGGGACTCATTGGGTTTGCCTGTTGTTTGTAGTTTCGGGTTTAGGGTTTGTAAGCCCTACGGTCTTTCCAAGACTAGGTCCCTTGACCAGAGCGGCTACCAGCACATCTTGGAGACTGGCAACGAAGAAGCTTCGAACTTGTTGGGAAGCGCTTTAGGGTTTATAGGGTTTAGGAGAAGCGCTTTACATCCTTATTGCTATTGAAACCTTGTACGCAAATCAACTGACAGATTTGTGTAGAAGCCCACTGACGTACACGTTTGATTCTGGGGTTGTAGGTTGTAGAAACATGATAAGGGACAAAGGAGAGAACCCTAACCCTAAACCCACATGACAAGGGGGCTATGGAGGGAACCCTGCACCCTAGAGCAATGACATGGGTAGCTGGGCGTGGAGGCATCCTCTAAGGGATTAGGGTTTAGAGGAATTGTAGGGGGCTTTAACCCAGACCCTCCACCTACCCTCTATCAGGGCCGAAATACGCGCTACTAGGCTATAAACCTAAATGCCTAAGCCCAAAGCCTAACAAGAGCTCAGGAAAGCCTGGCGTCCTTCTTGCTGAGGCTTTTGACTCGAGGGGGTCCAGAAATTAAAGCCCTTCTATTAGGTTTATAGAGTTTAGGGCTCAGGGTTTAGGGTTTAGGGATGGATTTCTAGGGTTTCGCCGAGTCTACGGGTGTTCTGTTGAGGGTTTGAGGCTTGTGGAATCAGGATTTAGGGAGTATGTTTGAGGCCGTATGAAAAGTCTTAGTGCACTTGAGGGCACATGATTTAAACGAAGAATTACTTCCGTTATTACACTTACCAGTCTGATCGTGCATCAGAAGCATATGTTCGCTGGCGTTCCCGGTACGACCCTTACACAACTGCTGTCTAGTTGATATATGCATATACATGTTCACACCAAAGACCTTTTCGGTCCCCCCCATTACAAAACATATGCTGATGCGCGTAGAGGATGCTCGGATCCTAAAGCCTGCATGGCGAAAACTTTGAAGCCCGCACTCCAAACCGACTCAGCACACAACCCCACTTCAAGAGTCGTCCCCTTTAAGAGACTACATGTGGCGTGAGTTGTGTTTTCGTGGGTTGCTATACTCCCCAGCGCGACTAAGATTGTTTTGTCTCTTCGTGGCACCATCTTTGAAGGAAGGATGTAGTCTTCGTTGAACCACCCAAAACCCATAACTAGCGCAGAACTAGGCAAACCCGGCATCCTGGGCTAGAAGCCCTGTAAAATTTGAGCAGTATCTTTGCTTGGTACTATATGCCCCGCACTATTCTGCAAGGTTATGCCCTTCTTCCGGTTGTGGCATTGCATAAGAAGAACATTATCTTACTAACTCAACTGGGTTAAGGGCCTTGGGTTTAGGGCTCAACACCAAAAAGTGTCTGTCTTCAAAGATCAAGAGCCGAACCCTGAAGCTTCTACCTTGGGTATTGAGTACTGCTGGTACTGCCCCTCCCTGCTCTGTAACATTTGAAAAAGTTATATAATGAATAAACAAATAAGCAATTAAATTCTATATATGTACATATACATGTATGTAGCCCTTAATATGACTCTTAATATAGACTGTTACTCTAAACCCTAAACCCTATATACAGCCCTTTGTATGAGCCATAAGATCTTAAAAAATACTGGGTCAGTGCAGAACCCAACTTCACCCCTTAGACCCAACTATCCCAGGCCCACGAATTGTGGGCCCCTTTTTTTGACTTTAAGGGTTTAGGGCCTAGGGTCTAGGGTTGAAGGGTGTAGGGTTTAAGGATTTCATGGTCTAGGGTTTAAAGGTTTTGGGTTTAAGGGCTTAGTGTGTTACAGTTTAGCCCAACCTTTGAGGGGTTTTGTATTTAATTAGCCATAAACACTAAACTCCAAGCACTGTTTTCTGAACTTCACTAATTCTGTACTGGGTGGCTGTTAAGGAACTCAAAGATAAGTTACCATAATGGGTGCGTATACATATAGAGAGTGATTAACAGCTTCCCTAATATAGTAACGTATTTTAATTTCCTTAACAGCAACCCAGAAAAGCTTGTAAGTACGCGCTATACCGTACCTCGCACTCGGAGCTTTCGTGCAGCTTAGGGTACATCCTGCTATGACGGGAACCCCCCCCAAATGCCTTCAAAGCCAAAACCCTGAACCCCTAAACCGTAAATTCCTAAAGCCTAAACCCCTAAAACTTCCTGAACTCCCTAAACCCTTCAAAATCCTGAAGCCCTAAACCCTCAAATCCTGAAACCCTAAAACCCAGTGCAGGCTGGCGGCGAGCCAGGGCAATGACATTTCAGAGGATGCATCCCTTCGGAGATTTAGGGTCTCCGGGTTTGGGGTTTGGGCTTTCGGGTTTAGGGCTTTAGGGTCCCTAGCCTAACCCTAAACTCTAAAGCCCGAACCCTGACAGTAAACCCTGCACCCTAAAAAATCCTTAATCTAGATGCAAAACCTTAGACTCGAAACACTAAATCGCCAGACGAGGCCCCAAGCCCCAGTACCCAAAACCGCGAGTCTTGGATCCTAAGCCCTAAAACCCTCAAACCCTAAAACCCTAAACCCTTAAGCTTCAAAACTTAGGGTTTGCCGTTTAGGGTTCGGGGTTTAGGGTTTAGGGTTTTGGGTTTTGGGTTCTCTTCAGGGTTTGGGGTTTAGGCATTGGTGGTTTTGGTTTGGTGGTAAGGGGGCTTGGGTTAAGGGGTTCAGCGTACAGTCTTTGGGGGCTGTGTAGGGTTTACGGTGGAGCGCTAGCACTCTAACGCTCGACCTGTTCCTGCTCCTCAAAATGAGAAAGCTGAAGATTGAAGTTTTTGTGCCAGGATAGCCAAATTTTATTTAAACCCTAAACCCTAAACCCTGATGATTTTCATGTGACTCTTCTAGGGTCCTCATTTCTAAGGCTTAGGGTTGCAAAATCTACGTGACGCCCAGGCATCATCGCCGGATTGTTGGGGAGCAGCGGCGATAGCTTCATCTAAGAGTCCAAGGCCCTTTTGTTGTGGCTTTAGGTGCATTCTACTGGACCTCTTATCTACAACCCAAATATTTGGGTGCCTGGACCCTGACAGGCACAGGGTGATGCGCCAGAATCTCGATTTAGGGTAGGGTGCAGGGTTTAGAGTTTAAACTTAGGTCGTGTCTCTGCTTGATGTTAGCCATGTCAAAACCGCTTGACGGCGGTATTCTACCCAAATGCAGCCCGTGATGCTCATCTACCAGCAGCATGCGTGACGAGAACGAGAGCCTAGCTGCGATCTGAAAGGTCGCAGCTACTGATATCATGGATGCTCGGGCCCCAAAGTACCCAGCCCCCTTTGTCTCAAATTTCATATTATAGAGATACCCGGATCCTCAAGATATAGCCTGTAGCCATATAAGGAGTCTCTTTGTGATAGGGTTTAGGGTTTTGGGTTTAGGGAACGTGCGCCTGAAGCCCTGCGCCCGAAAGGTCCAAGTAAACATAAACTGTTGTTAACTTGTGCCATCCCTACCTATCACCCCAAATTACTGGGTCAATGTTAGGGATCCCTTAAAGGAGGATATAGGGGTTATATAGGGATATTGCAGGGATATACACAGTTTAGGCATTCTTTATATACTTTTGGGGATATAAGATTCCTGGTTTTTACGTAAAGAGTGTCCTTTTTTCGTCGTAGGATAATGGGGGCTAAGATTAGACATTCTTAAGGTACTTCGCTGGACCCTCCAGGATAGCGGAGTTTCTCAAAACAAGGCGTGACTAAACTCCAATATGGAATCTCAAGATCACCGTATCATGCCAATATTCAGTATTCCCAAGCCCTGACTCTTTTGAAAAGCAAGGGGGACGTACTATTGTTGATATTATGAATCCTGAATACCGTTATTCTCAAGGTTTAGGGTACTCAGGGTCATGCAGGTTTTTAGTATCCACCGTAGTTGTCAGTAAGGAAGGAGGAATGAATGGGCTCTTATCGTGCCATATCAATACTGTTGATACTAAAAATCCTGCATGACCTTATGCTACTGTAGTACATAGATCTCAAGGTTAAGGGTAATTAGGGTAAGTAATTCAAGAATTTTAGTATCCAGCGTAGGATAGCAGTTTCCTTGTTTTTTTAGTGCAGCCCTTCGTGCTAAATCCTAATCCCTAAATAGTTTTCATTACCTTTCCAGTCTTTTCGTAGTTGCCTACAAACTAACAAGACAGAAGTTGGCCTGTAACCCCACGCATTCCTTTGAACCTCGGCTTTGCGTTTCCTTTTTTGATTTGCTGTTCTTTCTTTGCTTTTCCAATCCACCACCAAGTTGACCCTGAACCCTATATGTATATATATGTGTACATATATATATATACACGCATTCCTTTATATCCCTATAAGCCCAAAGTTTTCAAGTCATCTTCCATGTGATTTTCCATATTCCCCTACAACACCTAAGGTCTACTTCCTTACACAGCGCCGATAGTCTCCCTTAAGTAGATAGGATATGGGGTATATGGGGATCTTCTTATGATATATTCAAATCCACATTCTATCTACTTGGGGGGGACTATTTCCCAAAAGCCTAAACCCTAAACCCCATGTTTTATCTACCTAAGGTGGACTATATACAGAAACAACCAGCTAGTTGACCTATCTTGGAGGAAACTGAGTTCCTGATTCATCGTCTAGCCAGAGAATGCTGGTGGGAGAAGAAGGACGGAGTTTAGGGTTTAGCCTTTAGGGTTTCAGGTTTAGTGTTTAGGGTTCAGGGAGGGGGTTGAAATTTTGGGGTTAGGAGTTCTAGGGTTTCTGGCTGATGGAGTTTCGGGCTTTAGCGTTTAGGGATTAGGGTTTTTTCGGGTTTGGGTCAGGGTTGGGGGGCTTCGGGATTTCAGACTGACAGCTTTCAGAGGTCGGGGTTTAATGGTTTCAGGATTTAGGAACTTTGGGTTAAGGAGTTCAGGAGTTTGGGGGTGTTGTGATCATGGCTTCGAAGTGTCTTCACGTGGCTAGGGGTCCAGAATCCAGGGTTTCATGGGGAAACGTCAGCGCTTAGGCTGTAGGATTATGAGGATAGGGCCTTGCCCGCATTCCTGCGGTGGCTACTACACATCCTTCATGACCCCAAGTACCCCAAAACTCTCTCTAAGGGTCCAAGTACCTAATAATCATACACTTACCCAAAACCAATACTATAATTAGTATTACCCAAAACCCAAGTTCCTAATTATTGGGTACATGGACCCTTTGGGTACTATCAACCGTCCTACTCGCAGACCTTGAGTTTCTTTCTCAGCAGAAGCTTCACTCAAAGGCTATTACAGTCAAGCGCAACTATGCGAAACCCTAAGCCCGGAATAGGTCAGCCCGGAACCTAAGGCCTGAAGCCAACCCTAAACCCTAAACCCTAAGCAGAATAACATTGTAGTTTCCATGTTCTTTTCCATTCTCCCCATAAACCCTAAACAAAATAACATTGTAGTTTCCATTTTCTTTCCCATTACCCCCATGCAACCAACACGACCCAGAAACTGAGGCTTCGATACTGGCTCAGAAGCCTAAGTGCCTAAATAGTGAGTTCCTAGGGACTAGCTTACGGTAACCTTTAGGGGTTTGGTTTAGGCACCAGAAGTTGCTAGCTGTTGGCAGGGAGGAAAGGAAAATATCTATAGTAGCCCTTCTACAGGCGCACTAGTGTGAGTGGTAGCTGCCCATTGTTCCATTCTAGCAGCCTCTTCCCGGATAAAACTTTAGCCTTACGGGCTTCGTGGGGTTCAGGGCGCAGTTTTCAGGGTTCAGACTGTTTGGGGCCTATAGGGCTTGAGACTTAAGGCTTTGGGCTTAAAAGGCCAGGTTTAGGGTTTAGGGTTTTAGGGTTTTAGGGTTTAGGGTTTAGGGTTTAGGGTTTTAGGGTTTAGGGTTTAGGGATCATCGTGGGGTCCCTCAAAGGCTCCAAACCCTAAACCCTTAATCCTTTTCTAGGGATGTCCAGCGGTATCCTAACTGTAATACCCCAGCTATGCCGCCGCAATGCTACATCCTAAAAAGCAGGAGTTTAGAGTTCAGGGTCAATCAAACCCCTGAAGCGCATCCCGAACAACCAAACTGTCGGTCAGCATGGGCAGGCTGTCAACAGCATGGGCCCTTTTTTGGGTGGTCCCTGAATCAAGGTCTTGTTGTTGAAGGGGGTGTATGTAATACTGTACACCCCACTAGACCTATAATACAAATAATTCTCAAGTTCGATAACTTCTTAGGGCAATACTAGTTATTAAAATAAGAACTGAACATCAAGTCTAAAGACATGAGGGAATAAGGGAGGCATTGCCTCCAGAAACCTTGTGCGCCCCCTCCCTGTGACCCGTGGACTACATGTAAGGTACATAGTAGGTATATTAGGATGTCAGGGTTAAAGCGCGCATACTAAGGGCCCATGGTTTCAATCTTACACCCTAAACCCCTAACGTGAAACCGACCTTACACCAAGTCTAAGGATGGAAGTAAGGGCCCATAGTATGGGCCCGTAGCCCATAGCCCTTCAGGGTATAGTCCCCCTTAAGTAGATAGAATATGGCTTTGGGTATATTATAATAAGATCCCCATATACCCAATATTCAATCTACTAAAGGGGGACTATACATCAACGGTAGATTTTAGGCATATGGGAGACCCAGGATTAAGCAGTTGCCCCTGCTTGAAGCCTTTTAGTATACCCAGAAATACCCTTTGTTTCAGGAACCTACCTTAGATGACTTTGGGGTCCTAAAGCCCTAAGGGTTTAGGGTCTAGGGACCCTAAACCCTCGGTCCTAAACCAAAGTGGACCCACTTGGTTGAGCTGGGAGCTGCATCGCGTGGAGGAATTTGGCGAAGTCATGCTGTGTCTGGGTTGGGATCTCGGCAGTGTGGGCTTAGGACGTTTTTTTTGTTAAAGGCTTTAGGGGTTTAGGGTTCAGGGATTAGGGTTTAGGGCTTGGGGTTTAGGGTTCAGTGTTTAGGACTCAGGGCTTAGGGATGAGGGCTGCAGGGTTTAGGTTGTTTCTGTGTCCTTGAATGATGCTGTACGACTTTGTGTGCAGAAGGTGAGGGCATCTTAAAAATGCGTAGCAGGGGAGTCATCAAATGTGTGCACTCATCCAAGGGCAGAGGGATAGTGTTAGAGGAACTTCTGCGTCTCACTTTGGCGCATATAAAGTCTAGAGATCTGGGTTTTCGACACCTTCCAAAGCACCCGAAAGCTCCTCAACCTTTATTTGAACCCCCAGACCTTACACCCTAGACCCTGGTCCGTGACTATACATAGGATCCTAGTGCCATGCCAGCAATCTGAGTTCAAAGTCCTTCAAATGAGCTTTCAGAGGGCGCTTGGGGCTTTTCTTGGTTCTGAGCAAAATTGGGGTTTTGGTTTTGGGGTTTCGAGGGTTCTGAACCCTAAACCCTAAACTGTCGGGCTCCATTGAGGCAAGGGCTCGCTCCAGCGCCCAGGAGTTTATAAAATGTTGCACCCTGTTTGCGCGGTTGGGGGGTCCCGAAGTTAGGTTTTATATGGGGTTTAGCGTTTTGTAGGCGTACCGTTAAAGATTGTCGCGTTTGAAACTTTCATATAATCCTACAAGAACCCACTAAACCCCAAGCCCTAGACCTTCCATAACGCATCGTGGTGTAGGGATCTCTGTTTTTGACGCCCTTCCGGCCTTTTGGTGAGGTGTTTAGAGTTTAGGGTGCGGAGGGGGCAGCAAGATTTGTGCTTGCACTGTGTAGGCCCAATAGCGTTAGAGCTCAGAGTGGGGCCCTTCGGTCGATAGCCAAATATTGTTTTAGGGTTCACGGTTTAAGGCATGATCCCAAGTACCTTATACCTTGGAAACTGTGATATTCTAGCATACCGAGGGCCGGCAGGCCGTTGGTATGGTATGAAGTGAAGTATGATGTTAAGGACAGCTACTCCTCTAGGACATTAAGTGATGTGCTTTCAAAGTCTGATAAAGGTTTGGTCTTTTTTCCCCTACAGTAATAGCTTCTAAATATGGAGTTAATAGATTTTTAGTTTACCTACAACAGTCCTTTGTTGTACCCCTTATACTGGGTGGGGGATTGGCCCAAGTTAAAGGCTTCTTTGGGAAACTGTCCCTTAACCGTAGACCCTAGACCCTCTACTGACATTTCCAGAGGGTTTTCAGGGGGCGGCTTGGCGAACTAGGCTTCAAGATCTGGCGACCGGTTGGAGTTTGGGGTTTAGTGTTTAGGGGTTAGGCTTGTGAAGCCCTCAAAATTTCGTCCTGCAAGCCTGCATTCTGAGAAACCAGACCTTTCGCTGCGACCCTTAATATTGCCTTTCGTGTTGCGGATTGCGGTGAAGCTTGAAGGCTTCACCGGCTAGACCCCAACCTGAAATCCTTACCCGCTTTAGGTTTTAGGGTTTAGGGGTTTAGAATCATAAGCTCCACTGAGAAGAAGAATACGAATAATGATACTGTTATGAGTAGTATCACAAAAACTAGCTACTGGGAAAGAAGGACTAATACTCATAAGGTAATGCCCTTAACCCCAATTAACCCCATTAAGCCCTAAGCCCTACAAGCCCTAAGCTCTAACCCAAGATGCGATTCAATTCTTTCACGAATACACAAAGTTAACACTAATACTAACAGTAATGCCCTAAGCCCTTAAAGCCTAAACCCTATTAGCCCTAAGCCCTGAACCCTAGACCCTAAAAGCCCCCTAAGCCCTAAACCCTAAGCCCTAACCCTAAACCCCAAGCCCTAAACCCTAAACCCTAAAGCCTAAAGGCTAAGGCATGCCTCTTTCCGGTGATGTTGTTGATTCGAGCCCCTCTACTGCCACCGACCTGCTGCCTGGCCAAAGAAGGGCTTAGATAAGCACATTCCATTTCGAAAGAAAGGAATTGGGGTTTAGGTTTAGGGGTTTAGGGGTTTAAGGGTTTAGGGATTTAGGGTTTTAGGGTTTTAGGGTTTAGGGACTAAATTTAGGTTGGGGGGGACCATTTAGGGTTTTGGGGGGGGACCGATTAAGGGATATACTGCAAATTTAGTCCAGGGCTCATATGAGATTCTGCCGATACATCTGGCTATCTAGGGTCATGTAGGGTTATATAGGATCATCTAGGGTTATATAATGGGGATATGGGCCTCGGAGTTTATGGCCGGGCAGAGTGGGGGGAGGGATAGGCGTGGGCTTATCTGAGCTACTTCTATGGCAAAGCACTGAACCCTAGATGCTTGACTGTGTGTGCGTGTTTGTGGGTTACATGGATACTTTTGTCCCCCTGACCCTCAAAGTAAACCCTTAGACGCAACGGGGCCGCCGTTGAATGGCAGGGAAGAACCTCGAAGCTTGCCTAGGTAACCTAGTAGTACTTCTTTTCCCCTTTCATTTTGGGGTCTCCTTACTAAAGCTGGACATCAGGATAGAGGGTACCCTTATTATTAACGGCTACTGGGGTACCTGGTTGCTATTCTTGCCACGATGTATCTTTTGGGTTTACCAGTTTACCAGGACCCCCGGCTTGCATGAGCGTCTTGGACAGGGTTTATAGTTTAGGCTTTTGGGTTTCATACAAGCCCTACACCCTAAACCCCTAAACCTTTCGACTGGAAGCACCCGGAGCAGGACCTTTATGTTCTGTTCAGAACCAGCTGACCATACAATTTCTACAAGGGTTCTCCGGAACTAGACCTCTAGAGATCCTGAAGCCGAAGTCGGAGTTGATCAGAAGATATCTAAAGGTCCTTTGGAGGAATCATGAAACCCTAAGCCCTAAACCCAAAAGGGATCCTGTAGTTCTAGAAGGAAAACATAGGTCCTTTTTCTCCAGAATGCTCATCTTGGGATGGGGAGATTTGATCAACTGCCAAATACCTCCTCTCCGCTCATACCGACATCCTCTGAGTGACAGAAAACCCGAAGAGGACACACGAGAGTGTCCCAAAGGTATGTGTTCCATTCCTTTGTGGGAAACCCACGTAATTATCAGGATTCTAGTGCAGTGGGGTCCATGTTGGGGGCTCCCTCTTTATGGAAATTACCACGTCTCAAAGCTTTTGTGGCCGGACACCGCGCTGCAGCTAGCATGGTAGGGTTTGGGGTATGGGGTAAACGGTAACCCGGCACCCTAACCCTAGCCCAAAAAAAAACAACAAGTACAAGTCCAGCATCCCCAAGTTCCTAAACCGGAAGCCCCCCTATATCCCAAGGTTAAACCATAGATTCCAAGCGCCGAAAACTGTATAAGCCCTAAGCAAAAAGATTCCATACCCTATTTGCAAAGTCCGACCACGCCCCCGCCAGCTCTCAAAGATCAGATCAATGTAGGTCCCATGTTGGTTATTTGGGGCCTACTTGGAGGGTCAGGGGACTTAGTAAGTATGTTAATAACCCCTGTAACCCATATAGTAACCCTCATTATGCCCATTATTAACCTACTTACTAAGTCCCCCTGACCCTCTAAGTCGGCAAACCCTAACGCTTCACCCACGGGGTCCCTCTAGCTATTTAGCATACACTGGGGCCCTAAAGTAGCTATATGGGAACCTCTTTGGGCCCTAGGTATATACTATGTAGCTACATGAGCTATAGTCTACTTTCCTATTATCCCATATGGTAACCCCTATACGACTTCCCTGTATAATCCTATATATAACCCCAATTCAAGGAGTTTAGACGATGGCCGTGAATTAAAAATCTTAAACCTACTATGTAGCTACTCCTTGGGACTTAGCTTGGACCTTAGACCCTTAACCCTTTGGGGTTCCCTTATATTCCTAGTCTAGGTACCTAAGGGTTAACCCTTTTTAGGGGTCCTAAGTGCCACGTGGGCTACATGGACACTTTAGGATGGAGAGGCTCAGCGGAACGCTTACTACTCTTCAGTCCGACATTCTGCCACCTCCGTCGGAGGTTGCAGAGGTTGGGGGGCTTAGTGTTTTGAAGCGGTTTGCGGCTTAGGGTTTAGGATTTAGGGTCTAGGTACCTTGAGATGGCTTGGGGCTTAGGGTGGAGTGTTTAAGGTTTCAGGGTTTCTCAGTTTATAGTTAGGTGTTTCCAGAATAAGGGTTCCCTCATGTACCCAGAAACACTAAAAACCTGACTAGAGCGGCCCCTCCAAAATCCTGTAAATTTCATGTTGGATATACCTGGGCGGTATTTCGGGGTAAAGTATGCTCCATATGAAAACCTTTATCTAAAGCTAGGCTTAAGCCCCTACACCTTAACCCTAAACCCAAAGGTACAGGTGACCAGTACTTGGGCTGGCAATCCCTAGTGCCCAATTGTTGAGCGCCTGGGTTTTTGACAATAATTCGATGCTCAAGTAGTTGAAACATTCCTTTACGCCCCTATTCAGTAGTCATAGAAGAAAGTCATACATGCGGTGGATGTTAAAGAATCTGCATGACCCTAAGTACCTTTTACCCCGGGAAAAGTGGTACTACAGTATACTAAGGGCATGCAGGGTTTTTAGCATCAACGGTAGATACCAGAATCTCGTTACCATTTTGTGGTGACTACTGGTGTGTTGTACTGTTCCAGGGAGGTATAGTTATTGAGTCCCTCATTATCGAACCCAAGTTCATGTTGGGCCTCCTATTCGGTTGAGTGGTTTTGCTCACACAAAAATCCACTATACTATATCTGTTAGGGAAGACCTTTGATAGGGCAACTCTGCATCACAAACTAAACCCTGAACCCCACTCCTCTAAACCCTGTACTCCAGGAAAGCTTAGACCCACGCTTTCACTAGGCCCAACCCTGAATTGAACCCGAATTCTGCACACCGGGATCTCCCGCGACTAACCCTAGACCTTAAACCCTCTGTAAAGAAACCTACGGGCGCCAATTTTGAGCAGGGCCATGCTTGCGGGGGCGGACGGGGGCCAGCAGGACTTAGCGAACAAGTCATAGTAAGGAATATTTTTAACGCTATAAGACAGAATATACAAGTCACAAGTTAACCTCTTCGTTTACCCCACCCTAAACCCTAAGCGAGGCCATCCAGACATAAAGCCACGTGTAATGCACTACATAACTCCCAAGGCAAATACGCATATTCACCTTCGGGGTGAGCCAAGGCCGCTAAACTCTAAACTGGAACCGCCGTAAGCCGAAGCTCCTGAAGTCTAAATCCTAATTACCTAAACCCTGAACCCTAATTACCTAAACCCTGAACCCTAAACCCTGACCAAAAAACACCTCCATTTTCCCTCTGTACAGGAAGCAAAGACCTTGAGCTTCGTGGTGGAGCCCTCTGCAGGAAGTGAGCCTCGCCAAGAAGTGTCCAAGGGCTCAGGGGTTGGGGGATTCAGGTAAGGGGGGCTTGGGTTTACGTAAATGCTTGAGATTTGGTATTTAGGGTTTAGGGTAAGTGTTTTTAAGGGTTGAGACTTTAGGGTTTCGGGTTTAGGGTACGAGTTGTCAGCTTTAGCGTTTGGATTTAGGACCCAGGAGGTTTGGGTTACCCAAAAGGGAATATCCCTAAGCCTAAACCCTATATTCCCTAAACTCTAAACCTTATTCTAGGCGATGAATAGCTCGGCTTAAGGTTTAGGGTTTAACGTTTAGGGTTTGGGGTTTGAGGTTCAGGGCTTAGGGGTAACTCTTCACATAGTTTTCGTTTCGATTCACGTAGCGGGCCTCTCCAACTGTTTGCGCTGGACCTCGTTACCATGCATTTTTCAAAGCACCAGTTTACCCTATACCCTAAACCCTAAACCCTAAACCCTAAACCCCACCCTAAATCCTAAAACCTTAAAGGATCATCTCGGAGTCGAGCTACAAAGAGGTGGGCAGTTTTGCTATCACCTGAATGCCCATGCCCAGACCTTCTAAAGGATCCCAAAAATGGAACCCCCCCCAAAAAAAATAAACCTAGTGCTACATTGGGGAAACCAGGGGATTATTAGGGGGTTCCATTCTTTGGATCCTTTAGTGGGTCTGGGTGTTCGCTGAGGGTTACACTACGCAAAACAGGGAAAAAGAACTTGGAGGAACCATTCCTTGGCGGGTTCGGATCATCCGTCCCTGGTGGTGCAGATGGAGTTCTTGGCCAGTGAGGCCCAGCATGCGTTCTGCTGATGCGGGCTAGCTTGGGCCAGGATCTCCCTCCGACGTGGACAGAGACGGTCAATCGATTGGCAGTTCCGGTAAGCCGTCATGAAGCCTGAGAAGAGGGCGTGAACCCTAAACCCCCAACCCAAACCTGAAAGTTTGAACATGCTGAACCGCATACCACCCACCCCCCCCCCTCCCCCCCCCAAAAAAAACACATACAATGTCGGAATCCCATATCCTCACGACCCTCAACCGTACGCCACGTGAAGAACCCTCAGGCCAGGGGCGGGACGGCCATTACTTGGAGACGTGCCTTGGCAGCGCAGAATAGGACAATTTAGGATTCATGGCCTAGCGTCTATAGGGTTTAGGGTGTATAGGGTTTAGGGCTTAGGGTGATAAAGACCTTCAAAGGTGAAGAATATCAATCAGCAAAGCAGGACAAACCACTAAAAGGAATTGCACTGGAGGGTCGAAGCAGGTGGTCAGGATCAGGATTTTTAGGTTGAGGGTGCAATGTAGAACCCCGAATTAATTCCCAATATTCTTCCCATTACAACTCTTCTACAGCAAAAGTATAGGGTACCCCGAAACTATATAGTACCATTGAAACCCGAACCACTAAACCCTAACCCTGAAACTCTACATCCTGACTCCCCATCCCTGAATCCTGAAACCCATCCCTTATTGTGTTTTTTTTTATACCTGGAGTATAAAAGTTGCTCAAAACCCTACTGTGGTTGAATTCGGTCGTATAATGCAATTAAGCCCTAAATCCTAACCCTGCGCTCTTCCCTCGTCATGGCCTTTATGCAAGTACAGTATAGACTTCCCCAGCACCCAACTTTAGTAAATTTGGGCCGTGCAATACCCTGAAGGTCTAAACCCCGTTATAAGGAAACATGCAAACAATTTTTTCCATACTGGACATTTTGGGAACGGCATTGTTGATCAACTACCTAAGCTCTTAGTGTCCGGAGGACCAGCCGGGCATGAAATCCTCTTACAGCCCTACACCCTAGACCCTTCTGGACCCAAATTAGGGACAGGGAGCGATCTGCATGTCAACTGGAAACTGCCCTGAAGCATCTCTTTGGCAATCTTCTTTGCATAAATCCTGAGAGCCAGATGGAATTCTGAGTTCTACCAGGGCTGCAGCGAAATTAGGGTTGACCGCGGGTTTATGAAAACAAGCTCTACGTGAGCTGTAGTCTATATAGCCCCCTCTAAGGAGTTTAGATTATGGCTCCACATAGTCCCGGCTAAGAACTCTGGCAACCCCGTCCGCAATCTGTACATATCCCTAAAGTCCCAATAGGCTGCGCGCTTTAATGAAACACACATGCACTCACGGGTGTATATATATATATATACACACACATACATACACATATACACATACCTATACATATACAGACGCATCTGCATATGTATATGTGTATGTGTATGTACACATGCACATATAGTTCACATTTAAAGACCTATATACATATATACATATACCGACTCTAAACCCTAAACCCTGTGTGTGTGTGTAGATGTGAGTGCATGCACATAGAGTACCTTTGCATACGCCTTTGGCCGCTCGACCTCAGGGGTTGATCTACAGCCCACGCCCGCAAATCCTAAACTCGAACCACAAAACCGTTAAGCCTAAGAACCCTAAACCCTGAGCCCCTAACCCTGAACCTCTTTGGGTTTTGAGTTTGAGGTTTAGGGCTTAGGGTTCAGCTTGCAGGGCCTTAGGGTTTAGGGTTGGGGGCTTTGGCTTTAGAAGGAATGGTGTAGGGTTTTAGGGCTTTGGTTTTAGGGCTTAGGGTTAGGATCACACTAGAGGGATCCGAAGTACCTGTATATTAGAGTTTGGGGTTGGGGGGTTTAGGGTTTGATGGACGCTACGTACATACCGTCGGAGGCTCTATCTACTCAAGAAGGACTATGCAAATGTTCCCGGGAATGTTGAAGCCTAGTTTAGTTACAAGTCTTAATCATTGTTCCTTGAGACACCGTATAGCAGCAAGATCCAGTATGGTAAGTCTCTTAGCCAAGAAGAAGTACATACATATACAGGTATATAGAGCTTTCCCAATAACAGCGTTCATGGGCCGAAGCCCTCTCGCTGGCTTTGGGGCATAGAACACTCGTGAATTGGAACTCTCAGTTCTGACCTACCCTAATTCAAGCAGGAACGCCGAAGCTTTGCACAATCTTCTGCTACCTTAGGCCTTAAATCCTAAGCCCCTAAGCCCCTAAACCCTAAACCCCTAAACCCTATGCAGCACCCTTTGGACGGTCAGATTCTCTTTCAGAGTTGAGGGGTTGACTTCAGTCAGTTCTCTGAGTTCTGCCACAGCCTCCAAAGGGGGATATATAGGGGTAGGCTATAGCTCAAAACAATTCAACCGAAAAGGCTAGCCTCGCACTTACGCCTACGCTATGAAGCCTAACCCAAAGGGTCCATGTACCCAATAGTTAGGTACTTGGGTTTTGGGTAATAGCAATTGTAGTACAGGTTTTGGGTAAGTATATGATTATTAGGTACTTGGACCCTTAGGGTAACTCTACGTACAAAACCTAGCTACATCCTGAACCCTGTCGTGCTTTGGGGTTTAGGGTTTAGGGTGCGGGCACAGCTGAGGTGAGCCAGTTCCAACCGAGTTGCGATTTGGCGCTCGCCATGCTGCTCCACTGTATCCCACCTGCACATCCCTAAGGGTCCGAAGTACCCATATATGGCCTGTACAGTTTAGGATGCAGGGCTTAGGGCCTATGATCGAGGGCGTAGGGCTTATAGCCTGGCTCGTAAATATACAGGTGAATAATAGAAATAACTGTGGTTACGATATGGCCGTTGGGAGTTCTATGTAAACATCCTAAGTTTCACCAATCCGCAAGTAGGTCGGGGAAAAACGAAGACATAGGTATAACCATACGAGGTGACAAAGTTCCCCCCTGAGCTTCCCAGTAGTTCCTGCCGTCGCAAAACCTCACCCCCCGACCTCAATAGGATGTAGCCGGAATATGGTACTATCACATGGGTTGATCTCAAAATATGGGCCCCTTCTGGTTATGGATTATATTATGGCACCATAATTTTGGGAAGTACCCCGGTGTCCCCCTTAATAGCCCCCATAATACTCCTTTATAGAAGCCCCTATACAACCCCTTTAAGGGAGCTTAGACTCTAGTGCATATGGTACCATGATATGGTGGGAAAGTGTAGTGTCCGCAGGTGGTATTCTCAAGCGGAGGGAATTTCAAGAGCTACGAGATAAGTCATCAAACTAGGGTAGGGTTTAGGGTTGAGGATTGAGGGTCTGAGGTATGAAGGATCAGGGTCTGGGTTGTAAATTTAGAAGAATCCAACCGGTGGGTTCGACATTGATGGGAGGGCGGGGGGTAGAATATAGGGGTTACATAGGGGTTATATAATTATGGGAGTTATATAGGTCGTATGTGGAATATATATGTTATAGGGGTTATAGAAGGATATGGAGGAAAAGGAGTCGCCATCACAAGAGCGCTTCTCAGTAGTTTCGCCCTTTCTCTTCTTGCATCTTGCAAGTCTGCTAAGAACTGCGGAGGATGGCAGTCAAACGGTTTAGGGGTTTAGGGTTTAGGGTTAGGATATGTTGCCTGAGGGCTACAGGTGTAGGGGGTTGTGCCTCAGGTTTTGAATTGGGTTCTTCTATGGCTTTGTTTGTGCTGTTTGCCTGATGCGCTGGGTTCATGCCTAACCTATTGGTGGTTAGTAGGTAAGAGCAATTAATTGATTGGAAAGGAAATGCAAAGCATTAACATTTGTGCTTAGGGATTAGCGTTCGAGGTTCCAGGCTTAGTGCGTAAGGTAGGGAAAAGGGATTGAATCCTTATGGCACCCCGTAGATAGTCAGATTTGTCCATGCCCTACTCAGTACACGAAGCACGTGCTTGAAAGCAATGTCTTTTCACTCTGTTGAAGCCTTTGCAAATTAGCACCTTAAACCATAAACCTTAGTTGTCACACTTCATCCACAAGCAACGGCTTTCAAGGGTCGGGGTTTAGGGCTCAGGGTTTAGGGTTGATTTGCTGCTGCTGAATGCAGATGGGGGGAGTGGATTCCTACAATAATCCGTACGCAATACCTTAATAGGATCCCCCCCACTCACTCCAAAGATCAGTAAGTCCAAGCTGTGGGTTGAAAGCCTGAGCTAACATCGTAGGGTCCAAGAAAAGTAGGGCAATAGCTATACCCACAGAAGGACCACAGAGGAATAATATTGACATAGTATGTTTCTACATTACACCCTGAACTAGACCAGGATTCCAGGCTACTTTTCGGGGAGTCCAACATGAAGAATGGAGCCTGTCCAAGAATTGCTTATTCCCAGAGGGTCCAAGTAGCCAATAATTCGCTACTTGAGTGTAGGGTACTAGTTGTGATAGTACAGGTTTTGGGTAAGTATATGATTATTAGGTACTTCGACCCGTTTGGGGGTCTTTCCGCGGGCCTTGATGGTTGATATATGTTCCAGTCATGCAATGGCGTCCGATCGTGTTCATGTGGCTTTGCTGAGTGGACGGGCTGTAGCAGTTTCAGCCAGCAGGGAACAACCACTGAAGCATGGTTGCATGCCCAAAGAGTCCTGCAGACCTGCAGGGGGGTCCTGCGAAATTCAGAAGGGCGAGTCATCGATAACCAGACGGTGGGCGAAGTCGGTCTGGGTCCAGATGTTTTGACATTGCAAGTGCGGCAGACAATCCTTGCAAGCAGCAAGTTCGGGTTATCGTTTGCTGCCATGCTAGGCGATGGATCTGTGGTTGCTTGAGGAGATGCTGGATATGGCGGAGACAGCAGCAGGGTCCAAGAGCAGCTGCAGAACGTGCAACACATCCAGGCTAATGCAAGTGCCTTTGCTGCCGTGCTGCACAACGGATCTGTGGTCACTTGGGGAGATCCTCGATTCGGCGGAGACAGTAGCAGAGTCCAAGAGCAGTTGAGGAACGTGCAACACATCCAGGCTACCAGGGACGCCTTTGCTGCTGTTCTGGCGAATGGATCCGTGGTCGCCTGGGGTAATCCCATGCGTGGCGGTGACAGCAGCAAAGTGCAGGAACAAATCAGAAACGTGCAGCACATCCAGGCNNAGCAGCAGTGCGCAGGAGCAGCTGAGGAACGTAAAGCACATGCAGCCAACTGTGTCGACAGCAGTGCTGTCCAAGAGCAGTTCAAGAAAGCGCAGCACCTGCATACGATTGTATATGCATTCTGGATATAGACTTTAGGTGGAACCCCCACACAGTAATAGTGACTATAGGGGATAATAGGGATTATATTAGGGTCCTCTTATATTCTTACTATACCACCATAAGGGATTGTAGAGGAAGGTCTTCCATCTGGGACTACAGTTGAAGTTGTGTCTTCCCCTCTGCTTTTGTAGGCTGGTGGTCGGTTGAGCCCTTATGAACCAACACCCGAGACCAACACCCTAAACTCTGTAACGTAAACTCTCGACCCCAATCATAAGTAAACCGTATTCTCTGAACCCTAAAGCCCTAAAGCCTAGATGCGGAACGGTAACTCCTAGACCTTGAAACACAACCCTAAAGCGCGACCCTACACCTTGAAACTTAGACTCTACAACCCTAAACGCCAAGCTATTAAACATAGCATATACCTTTGCCCACTGAAATTTCAACCTTCAAGCCCCCATCCGGAACTCTTTCGATTCTGAAAACCAGTCCAGGTCGGAAGTCTAGGTTTCATGCCGCCATATACCCCAAACCCTAAACCCATACCCGCCGTAAAACCAGAGTTTTCCGCAGAAACTCGAGGCAAGGGGGGTGCTTCCTCACACCGTATCATGAGGAGGCTGAGGCGCTGGTGGGCTAGGTGGCCTAGGTCCTAAACCCTAAACCCTTAAACCCTAAACCCTGAACCGCGTGGCTGAGGGTGGGCGTCTCAGAGTCTAGAGGGCAAGGAAGATTTTATCGATTTTTAGGGGTTGGTTTGAGTGAATACGACTGCATTCTCCAGCCCGAACACCTAGCAAAAGGGGGGTTTAGGGTTTAGGGTTTAACAGCATAGATTCCAATATTTGGCCTTTATTGCATCTTTGTTCATGAGAGATTTCATGGCATTTAGCTACAAGATATGAGGCTTCACTGCAGATGTTACGAGCAGTCTAACAGGCAACAATTAAGGGCACAGACGATCTGCGCGTTCTTGCCCAACATTCTGAACACAGCCTAAACCCTCCCGTGTACGCATGTGGGTGTATAGGGCTTACCTAAACCACAACAGTACACATGTAGAATACTTGCATTTTGGCTGTATTTGGGGGAAAACGGGCCGTCATGTTCAATACTATTGGGGTCCAGGTAAGGTAGAGAATGCGCGGGTGCTAAATGTAGGCTTATGTGCCCTGAAGCGCCTGGGCTTAGGGTACGTTATTGAGCTTTAGGCTTCAAGGCATTGCAACCCCGCAAAACTCGAGATCCTCAACCCAAACCGCTAAGCCTGAAACCACAAATCTCTTTGCCCTGAGCCCCCAAGCCTCAAAAGACTTATTGTGTCATGACATCCCACTTGTTTGGCCTTTAGGGCCTGTGTCCAGTTCATTTGTGTAGGTTTCAGGAGTTCGTTCAATTTGGTAGGTTTCAGGACTTCATGGGTTTAGGGTTCGGCAAGGGCTTTTTCTATGGATTGTTGCGCGTGCCGTGACAATGGTGTGAGCCGTATTCCAACCGCCTCTCCATGACGCACGGCCTAAAATCCAAACTATCGATGCCTCCTGCTGGCAATGCCCTAGGCCCTAGGCCTGAAGAGTGCAAAGTAATTACCCATGGAGAGAATGCTCACCCAAAGCATAAGACAAGCGTCTAGGGTTTAAGGTTTAGGGTGTCTACTACAGCAGCCCTACTAGGTGCCCCAGTAGTACACTTTTCCCTTTTCTATTTTGGGGTCTCCTTAATAAAGCTGAATACAAGGAAAAAGGGCGCACTTATTATTAAGTGGTTACTGGGGAACCCTGTACCCAAAACCCTAAATGGGAGTTTCCATTTTCCCTTCCATTATCCCTATGTAACCCCCATATCGTATATAATCCCTATATAACCCCACCTTGGAACCTAGCCTACTTTGCAGAATGTACTTAGGAAACCTTTGAGACGCATGTCCATGACCTCACGATCCTTAGCTAGTTGGGCTCAGGGTTTGGGGTTTAGTATTTAGGGCTCAGGGTTTAGGGTTTAGGGTTTATGGTTTAGGGTTTAGGGTTTAGGGTGAAGTATGGTCATAGCCGGCCTGCAGGGTATGGCGAACTCGAGGCTTGCACATGGCACTTGCAGAAGGTATAGTGTAGACCTCTGATTAATGACCTCTTCCTGTTGTCGGCCTGAATCTTACGATCCCTATTGAAAACTCATGAGGGGGTGGGTTTATTTCATGAATCGTTTTGGGTTCGTTCTGGGTTTGAAGCACTCGCAGAAGATTCATCCCCATCGTTGTATTCATCACTTACTACGCCCCCTCCCCCGACCTTCCAAGCGTCTTTCTGGTGAGCCAGTGGCGAGTACATGAGCCCCAAACATATGCAAGATAATGGCGTGTTGGGCTATTTGGGTGCGTGTTTGGGTTATTATTTTACTTACTTTTGGGGCCCAGGCGCTGTTGATAGCAGCCTTGCCCACACGATGC